TGCACGGGGAGAGGTGATTAGCATAATTACCACCCCAAAAACACCATATAAGGTAATGTTTCCTGTCCCAGATAGCAGGAAGTGTCCATTCATAAATGACATTGCGAAGTAAAAAATAAGAACTAAACAAGTTCAGAGATTGAAGTCCTGCTCAGAGATCCAGAAAAAAAATCTGTCACTTTTACCAGCGTCAGACCTGCTAAAGCCGAGGAATTAAATGACAACTGCTGTTAATGTCATGTCTTATGGGTTGTATACAGACACAGAAATAAAAATCTAAATCATATTCATCTCTCTCTGTAGTCCTGCTCCGGTTTTAATTTGGTCAAATATTTTTATTTAGGTGTAAACAACTGGCTGTCTCTCCCCCTTCCCGACCGTCGCAAGTGTTAGATGTGGTTCTGAAAGAAAGCATTTTAAACTATCTCTAAATTTCAGTTAAAGCATAATTTAAGTTGCTTTTTAGTTTGAGATCTTTATATTAATATTGTAATGCTGTACAACTGCATTAATAGCCAATTTAATTTAACCTAACCAATTTATGTCGTTACTTACATTTAAAATCTAATTCCAGTTCAAACAGAATAACCTACTGTCAACATAATTATGGAGTGTGATTTATTTTAAACTCAAAATATCTTCAAACTAATGAAATATAAAGTTATTAATGGAGAAAATCTGTCTGGAAAACAGCAGACTGACTGCTGGTAATATATACGACAGGTCTGGACCACTCATGAATTTTGTTCGTATCTGAAAATAATCTTACAATACGAGAAAATTGGTCAATGCCACAAGTTCTCCTAAATCACTTGTACGCACAACTTAAGAACAAATATGTTCGTACGAACGGTTCTTGCATGAGGCCCATTTTGTCTGGTCAATCTAAAAATGTAGTGCAGTTCCAATCACCGCTTCATAAAGAATGCATCAGAGTAATTKATTTACTCATTTTTAATTCAGAGGTACTGTATATGGATGTAGCATCCTCATCTACAATATTACAAGCTAACATGACAGAAAAAAACAGAGGATACGATCATACAAAATATGTGAAAATGGTGTTTTAATCAACGTAAAATAATAAAACCWTTAAAATAAATGGTCAAGAAYCACRAAAATKAAAACTTGCACCGAGCATAAWTGTCTGGTATCTGTGGTATCGGTCCACCGTCCACAMATCACTACTGCATACTTGGAGTCAGTGTGTTGATTCAGTTTATCTCTGTTTATGTAGTTTTTGAATAATTGAATGTCAAACAAGAGACCAATTCACACTGAAGTGCATTGTTTTTTTCCCACTAAACTCAGAGTTTGTTGAAGAATGTTCTTTTTTTTGCTTTCATTTCAGGTTTTTCTTTGTGTATAAATGTTAGTTTTACTGTGTCAACAACTTTCCAACTAAAACCAAAGTCATTTGCGTTTTATTTACTGAGGACTATTAAGCTGCATCCATCATATGAGGTGGAATTAAACTGTATGCCTTCACTGGAGTGSAAGCTTTATTCACCGTACAGTTGTGTATTTTCCTTTCCGTCTCCCTCCCTGGCCCCTCTCTCTCATCAGTCAGTCTTGTTGGAAGTCCTCCTAGAATTATGTCAGCTGCAGACATTATTATTTTTTAGAGAACAGGAGGGGGGACGCTGATAATTTACACAGAAACGTAATACTGTTGGCGAGTGCTTTTCTCAYATTTACTCAGCGCTTTTTTGTATCTATTTTTCTTGTATTTAGCCTGCAGCTGGTTGGTATTTCTATAGCCGCCCCAAGACCGTCTCTGTGGTAGATATGAAAACTGCTTCGAGTTTGAAACAAAGAATTCACGCTGGTGTTAAAACTGAGGCAACAAATGTTGTGTATTTGTGAAGGGAAAAAAGAACTACTGCTTTCCAAAGAGGCCAAAGTTGGATAAATCCCTTTTGGTTTTGCAGTTGTGGACATGAGGCTTTCCGCCCACATGCTGTTTGGATCCACCTCAAGTTAAACTCAACTTCCCGTCGAAGCCTTGAGAAGAGATGCCATAACAGACAAGTCAGCTTCATTTTCCAGCAGCTGGAACCGATTGTGGTGATTGAAAAATGAGAAAGAAGTATGACAATGTCTGAAAGGGAACTCCGACTAGTTGTAACGTTAGACATTATTTGATAAACATTTACTTCAACTATAAAAAGAAGATGGTAAATATACTGTAAGTTGTTTAGTTTTGGCCGTGTCTATTCCATTCAGAGCCTGGGAGGAGAGAAATAATATACTGTATGGGGTCACCTCGAGTGAAATAATCAAGGAAACTGTCTTGGACCTCAGACCTCTGATGGACCTTTAAAGGGACAGAAACTCTGTTCCACTCAGAACTGAATTTAGGCCACCTCAGGTCGCCTTAACTTGTCAAAGAGACATTCTCTTTGACAAACTACCTTTGTCGATGATGTCTGTCACCTGTCCGGGTAGTTTTGGAGGATCAACAGTCGGTTCAGAAAATCCGTTTAGACCAGTGTTTCCCAAAGTTGGGGTCGGGACCCAAAGTGGGGTCCTGAAACATCAAGGTGGGGTC